GCACAAAACAATAGAGCTTGAAATAGAATATTTTGCCTTTAGAAGTCAGACCAATAAAAGATATAGCCAAATTTGGCCAGGGAACAAATTGAGTCCCAGATACATAAGTCCTTGTGAAATCGTAGAAAAAATTGGTTCAATTATTTACATGTTGGCTTTACCTGCTGATATGTCAAACAAACATGATATATTTCACATTTTGTTGTTGAGGAAATGAATTTCGAATACATACAAGAGGATTTCACACAATAATATTGACGTGCGCAAAAATTTAACTTCCATTGAAGAGCCTGAAAGAATTTTTGAAACAGATGTTAAAAAGTTAAGAAACATACCAAAAAAAAATTGACATGGAAAAAGAACAATAAATGTCGAAACAGATGTTAAAAAGTTAAGAAACAAAGATAAAGTGGAGAAACATACCAAAAAAAAAATTGACATGGAAAAAGAACAATAAATGTGATAGAAATATCCCTTTCAATTCAAGTAAACTTAGACATTTTGTTTCGAGTACGAAAGTCTTATTAGGGGAAGTTGTTAGGCCGTGTTTTGTCAAAATCAAATGAAAATTTTGATAATTATAAAATATCATCAAATTTCGCATCTCTCGTAATTTGACCGAGTCAATTTTATAAAATTCTATGAGTCAAATTGATCAAATTGATAAATTGCACCCTTTATGAATCAAAGTCGCGTGTAAATTTATAAAAGTTTGAAGTTAATTGATCCCTTTATTAATTCACTAAACTCGCACACTATTTTCATCGACCTTGTTATGCATATCTCAATAGTTTGATACAAACAAATGGGTGCGAGTCATTGTGTTGAGGGTAAATATTGCATAGAAGGTTTCGAATCCCATCCCCTCTCTCGGTCCCTCTTAGTTTCACATGCTTGGGGAGCTCCACAATTGTGCCATTGTAGCAGGCGCAACTGGTGTGATCAATAGAAAGCCGCAAAATCTAATATGGGGCTCCGAAAAGAAATCTGTATAAAGGAATTTCATTTTCACGCTAATTCGAACATTCTTTTCCTTCCCTACGATTTATTTTTGAGATTTGCCACAAAGTGAAGCACTTTAACATTCCCAGTCAACGAATTTGGTTTTTTACCTCTTCGTAGGGCTATTTGCAAATAAATCAATAAAAGAAGAAATGAAGGTTAGGAGGAAGAAGGGATTAAGATGGAATTGGAGAAGGGATAGCTATGCATGGAAATCCATTTGAGATGTAAATATTGGCACTTATATTTATGTGTGGGTTAAATTAAGGCCTAAGATAAGAATTTAAAAAAAGCTCTAAGACGTTTACGAATTCCAGGCTGTCTTTAGTAGGCGGCAAGCTCGAGGAGAGCTTGGGGAAACTCATTGTAGGGTTGCTCCATCGATTCACGTTAAATCATCCAATACAAATAATACATTTCTTTAGGATTTGATATGCTTTCTTTGATATGTGAATGCATTTCAAATTTCTATATACTAAAGGATACATGCAAATGATTATGTGAATGCTCGTTTGTACTGAGTTTCACTATTATTATGATTTTCCTATAATATTGATGTGATGAGCATATTATGAATTATTGGCTTGATGTTATTCTTATCATGTTAATTATAAATATGATTATGTATTGTTTGTGATTGTATGTTAATTATAAATATGATTATGTATTGTTTGTGATTGTATGTTAATTATAAATATGATTATGTATTGTTTGTGATTGCTCATTACAGGAATTATAATTATAGGAATATCACAAAAATTGTGATAGATAGGTTATTACATGAATGCTTGTAAGTGCGAATGAAAAGAAACAATGGGATTCTCGACTCCCGGCATTCAAACTGAGACAACTCCGACAACCATTGGTACCAAATAAGGACATAAAGTAAGGAACTGTTGGTAACATGAGGGCTATTGATAACTTTTATATTGAAAGGCTCAAATTTTATCAATAGTTAGTGTAGCCTTCGACTTGGGTGACGACCCAAATTGATGATAAGATGAGAATAGCCTTTTGTGGTTTGGATTTCATTTTGTTGTGAAATACAACTGCCAGATAGTTTTCTTTAGTCCACCAACAGTTCCCAACTTGATAATTTCAAGCTCCCAGGACGAGTCGTGACAGTGAGAAAGCAATACAGAGATTGAGAAAGAGGAAAGCGAGTGAGGGGGTGAGTGAGAGATCCAGCAAGGCGAGAGCAAGAAAATCGTGTGACCAAGCAAATTTGAAAAGCGTTAAAAAAACAAGGAGACATGCCAAACAAGCACTGATAATAGACACAAGGTTAATTCAAAGGAAGGAACCAATTAGGGTTTTGCGAGTGCATTTCCTTCTTTCAAGCTTAAAGGTGAACCCTAAATCTATGCTACATGTTTTCACTTTCTTTATGAAAAAATAAAGATTTGAAAGAAGCTTCTGTTATGGTTTTTAAAAGTAAAGTTATTTTAAACATGATTGATTAATTTAGATAAATGCCAGTATTGAGATACCTCCAAAGCTTAATGTAAATGTTTAAATTATTTCTTACTAAGTGAAAGTATTACAGGTTAAATAGAGCACACATTTCAATTAATCAAACTAAAACAAATTTTTAAACATATAATAACTATTTCTTGTTTGAAGGTATAATTTTGTTAGTTTGAGCTTGAAACATGCTAAACTGCAAAATTTAGTGCTATTTAAAAAGGATCACTATTAGAATTTAGAAATTAATATAAAATTAGTAGAAATAATATATAGAGTTAATTACTGATGCATTTATTTTTACAAGACATTACGCAAACATTATCAAAACAATGGCTTACATTAGCGGGGAGTTGGTGCATAAGAGATTTATGATTAAAGGTAAACTTGCATTTGATTTAAATCAGATCAAACGTAATAAAAAAAAGGTGTTACTTTATGGGCATATAATTTATGATGTTATATGATTTGACTGACAGAGAGATAGTTTGTATAGCTAGCAAATGACTTATAAGTTTTAGACTTACAATTTAAGAAGTATTTTTAAAGCATGTAATTTGATATAGATTTACCTAGTGTAGGAGGTGATAAACCAAGGATTAATCAATGCCAGGATACAACTCTGAACGGATGTGAAGAATTTGGTTTAGAATCCAAAAGCTGAAGTAGGCAATCTCATTTCTAGATTGAAGTAAACAGTAAATTTTCTTTTCTTCTAAACCAAAAGCTCTATGTTTACAATTCTATTTCATAAGAATAACAAATATTAGTATTGCTATATTTCAACTCAATTAATTTACAATGATTTATCTAACAAGTAAATGATCCTTCAAAATGTTATAAATGAGATGCATGCTCCCATGTTATGTTTCAATTGTTTAAAGCGTATGTCATTCTATAAGATGATTCATATATATATTATAATTTGAAGAGTATCCAAACTAAAAAGGTACATTAATAATTGCATACGTAGAAAGATGGTCACCCATTTATATTATTAGTTGAAGATGTTAAGGCACCCACATCAATAACTTTAACCTTTCTACACTAAGAAAATAACAAACTTACGAGCAACATCTCATTGTGTTAAAGGAGGTGTAACGGAAAGGGTAAGCTAAGCTTATGTTTAAAAGATACTTTTACAATGAATGTGCTAAGTAAATTAAGGAATAATTTTAATATTAAAAGCTCAATATTTGTTCAAGTGCTTAATGTGAGGTTAAATGTTATGATTCCTTTACCATTAATAACATAAACTACTACGTAATATTTTTTTATCACTATATTTAGTTAAATAATAGTCAAGTTTTATTCTTTTCTTACAACTTAAATATCATAATTGGCATGCTTATTTCTTTGTTTTGCATTTGAGTTACTATGATATGCCTACTAAGTCGCATTTTTATAGCCCACCCCATCAGTTAAATATTTTAAGAAAGATCCTCAGCGTAATAATTGGATTAAAGAAAAAATTTTATTTGGAGCGGGCCAAAATTGGCTAATATAAGGAGCATGTATAGTTTTGATACCTATAAATACCAATTTAGATACTGTCCCTATAAATATGTATCGTTTCAATATATATGTGCAAATATTCATGATAATTGAGAACTTCTTATTTAGTAGCCCTTCTGTGATAGTAGGAGTTTTATACCTAAAATAAAAATTGGTTTTAAACTATCTATATAGAAGGTATGTTAAGCTTCAGATGTTTGTCCGATCGTTTGTTCTCACCTCAATAGTTCGAGCTCCTAGGCAAGATCTTGACAATATTTTCTTCAACAATTGATCAAATGTTGTTATATGAAGGTTGTATTAAGGTCTGGAAAAGCATGAGACAATGGAGAAACGTGAGTGACAAATTTAACCGTGCCTTCAAAACAAATTCTATGCTTGTCTTACAAAACCACTACTATATTTAAGCATTGAATGTAATGTTTATGAGCAAAATCAGCATATTCTACGTTCTAGAATACCTTGGAACATTTATGGTCATCAACAACAACATTATAAAGGAATTATTATTTTCCACAGCCATGTATCCATATTCATTGAAAAGAAAAATGCAGCGTGAGAGGCAAAAAAGAATAACCTCTCTTTTAATTGATTTGGTTTTATATGGTCGAGTAGATGGATGGTCCCAATAGCAGCCAATTATGTTGCTATACTGACGTGCTTTCCTATTAACGCCCATGAGTGCATAGCCATACAATCAAAATTTGTGGCTTTTTAAGCGGAGAGCATAAGCATGTAAAAATTAAATATATGGGTTAAGTGCATGCACATAGAAAAGTTTTTTATAGTTCTCATGACTACTAAAGCAAAGAAACTGAGTCAACGTATTGAAATACCACCCCCAACAATAAAGGTAGTGTCCAAAAGAAAATCACATTTTGTGGCTTTTAAATGGAGGCAGGTACTTGTTAACAAGTGTACCAAACAGTGATTATAAATGATATCACACTCAATACCTACGCATCAAGCAAGAGTAGCTGCTTCCCAGAGAAAGGACAAAAAAAAAAGTCCATCTTTACCTCTTTCTTTTTCACCTCCAAACAGCGAAGAATTAATGAAGATTTGCTTCTTTGTGTCCATTTGTTAGACAAAATAATTTTTCCAAACTCTCTGGTCGCATTCTCTACGTGAAAATAATCAGCACACTTTTTCATCATCTGTGAAATATGGTACAAAAAAATAATACAAAAAGCAATATTAAAGAAACATTAAAACATTCTATATTGATATTATCTTTTATGCCAAGGAAAATACAAAAGCAAAAAATTAAATCAATTATCAACATATATAGAAATTATGCATGCACAAGAAAATGATCTTTTTATGGTTCTCAGGACTACAACAAAAGAAACAACATCAAACAGATCAAATACCACTCCAAAGCTATTCCAACTTTAAACAACATGCCAAAACTAATGCAATCAGGCTTAAAACATCATCAAAATAACCCTCCAACATAGATTTTATTTTTCCAAATATTATGTTCAAATGATCATATGCAATTCACAAATAAACAAATTTATAGGTGTCAGGATTTGATACCAAAACAACAATAACTCTTAATTCAATTTCCCTTTCCAACATCCCTTTTACACCCAGGAAGAGAATCTGGCATTATTCATTTTGATATAAAAATGAGCCATATCTTGTACAGCACTAAAATTTATCTATTTACAAAACTAACCCCAGCTAGCTCAATTTGCATACGACCAGAAAAATCTCAAAGAAAGTAACAAGGCATCAACCTATATTTTTTTATTTTCCGAGAAGGTTGTGGCAAGCTATGGTTTAGGTGGTTTAAAACCAACTATTAAGTCACGCATCTGTTCCAAAAGAACGACTATCTGACATTGAGAATACATTGGATTGCTTGCAATTTGTGTTTAACAAAGGGCACATTTCGTTGAGCTTCTTTTCAGAAAACACTCAACGATTTAACCTTAAGCATATTGTGGGAAGTTGATTCAAAAAGAAGCTTCAAAACTCAGTGCATAAAGCTGCTCATTGAGGTTTAATTTCAAGAAAAGTAGCTAGAAAACTTTTATTCAAAAGGAGGTCCATTAATAAAAAAAATGACAGTAAAACAAAATTGAATTTCCCCTTGCCACCAACCAAAACTACATGCTCAGTACATTCTACCCTCAGGCAGCAGAATCTAACAATTACCTAGATTTTAATTAACTTAAATTAGAAAAAGAAATAACGATTTAACCTCAAGCATATAATGGACAATTATCAATCAGCATTTTAGAAATTTGTGCACGTGGTTTGAAAGCTCCACATTGAAAAAAAATGCTCAAGAACAAAATAATGGTAGCTTTTATAATAAACTCCTAATCTAAGCTACTAATGTAAAATAAGGGAACATAATGAATGTTCAAACTTCGAAAATCATTATGGCCTTAATTCCCAAAAAAAACCAACAATGTCCAAAACTAAAATGATGTAAAACATCAAGATGATCAAAATAGGAGAAGAATCAAAGACCATCACATAAGCTTAATCAAGAAAACAATTTATTATAAATTAAATTCTACATTTTAAATTTCAGAATTAACATTTTTTTTATTTTGGGATTTAATATTTTAATTCAGAATATCATTTTGCATTTAAAGTCGACCTTGGAATATCAATTTGCATTTAAAGTCGACCTTGGAACAAGTATTTTTAAAGTACAAATTGTAAGAAAATGGGCAAGAGTTTATTTTTTACTTCAAAGAGCAAAGCAAAATGACACTTTTATTAAGCAAAGCGCTCCTTACATGAGTAAAACAACAAATATATTGATACATTTATTAACAATTTAAAAATACAGATTATTTATTAAATTACTTAAAATTTGATATAGAACAGAAAAAAAAATGTGATGCAAATACATAACTTGAAGACAAACTTGGAGAGTTGGCCTGTAAATTAAAATTTCTATTTATTTTAATTTATTTTGTATGAATATATAACTCCACTTTCTCTCACACTCACTATAAACCATTTCTGAGATTTTAAAAGTAAATTTTTGCAAATTTGGGATTGTTGCACCATATATCTATCACACTATTATATTATATTATGTCACGTTAAGAAAAAAATTAATCAATTAAAGCTTAAAAATTAGCTAAAATCTTTAGTTAATTATACATAGAGATTTTTTATCTCTATGATGAATGATGCACTTTGTTGCAAATAAACTGTCACAATGATTATAAATGTAAAATTTTTCATTTATAGTCATTCTTTTATTTGAGACACCCACTAATCTGTTACATCTTACATCAACTACCAATTAAGATTATCTTAGACTTATTTTTATAAAAAACAATTAAATTAATTTAGTATCCAACATGATTTAATGGTTGTCAAATTTGACATCTTCATTTGCTCATCCTTTATTCATCTCCTCTAAAGGCATCACCAATTACATCATTGACTGTCTACTAAAGCATCCATATCATTGCAAGCCACTTTCACCATCTACTGATCTTAACATATTCATAATTGAGCTTGTAACCTTCAAAATGTAAGAAGCATCAATCCAAAATTTTGTTTTAAGAATAGCCTCCTTACCTTTCTTCCCTTTCTAATCAACAAGAAATCTGAACTTGCACCAATCTTTAGAAACAAACATTAGGTCTTAAATTTTATTTGCTTGTGTACGTTTTTTATGATTGAAAAAAAAGCTGCAAAACAAGTGATACCAATTCTCAGCAGTTATACACTGCTAGTATATTTTCTCATTATGTTAAGAACAAGTAATATTTCTATATATACATATCTATATATATATATATATATATATATATATATATTGTCTTAACAAACATGCATCTTAAATTACTTTTCGCAGTTGAACATTAGATTCTTCGGTAATATCAACAAATGCCTCATTCCATATATAAACTTTGTTTTAATTTATACACTTTCTTGATAAGCAAGCAACTCCCCTCTAGTAATATTACTTTCTGATCCATTAATTGATTTTTAATTAAAGAAAGATAATAAAATATACTTCACAGTACAAAAAGTAATAAACTACCCTTCAAGTGTTTAATTGTTATCTAGTGATAATATTAAGAAAAATTGCATTACATGAGTAGGCAAGCATTTTACTCAAAGGAAATAGTCAAATCAATTGATTAAAAACATCAAGGGTTTTACATCAATTGTAGGTGAAGCAACAACAACAAACCATTATCCCACTAAGTATGGTAGGCTAAATGAATCATTTTTCTCCATCGCGTCCTATTTAGTGTCATATAAAAATTCTTATAAAAACTTTAACAACGAATTATTCATTTTGTTAATTATTATATTAAAATTATATTCATAAATCTCAATTATTAATGGAACTTCTTTTAATAAATATAAATCTCAAGTCGTAAGTAAAGTGATTAAGCTAAAGAGCTTTGTACGGAATTTCTACAAAGAATTCATTCTAAAATTTGTGTCGGGAAATGGGCCAAATTAACCATTTATTAAATATCAAAATATGAATCTCATAAAATAAAGATACAGGAGTAATTGATGTTGTGTATTCAAAGCATTATAAAATAACTCACACGGGCATTGAAGCATTGGTTGCTATGGTCTCTTGTTGCGTCGAACTTTGGGTTGATGCTTGCAGGTTTGGTCAACGGGAAAAGTCGCAGGGTAATGTTGCACAACAGAGGAGGTTTTAAAGTGGGTTAGGTGAGTCTCCTCTCTGATGCTTACGTAGGAGAGGGTTTGAAGTGGCCAAGATAGCACCTCCTCTTTTTTGCTAGTGTCCTCTCTATTATTTGAACTAGGCTAGGGTTTGAAGTCATGTTGTTTTATGTTAAATAACTAATTGATTCAACTCTAACCTAATAAACAAATTTCAATCGAGTCCATAACCCAAGCCCGCAAGAGTGCCCACTCCCATAAGCAATGATTTATGCTACAATAGGCCACATTCACACATGATTATGATGCCAAGCGCACCTTCGACTCTCCGCGCTTTGAAGCAAACATTTGCAAAGCCAGATCGGAACAAGCTTCGCCACTATTTGATTTTTTCCTTGGAATGAAAATTGTAACAAGTGTTTTTAGATGAAAATTTCCCCGCTTAGTTAATATGAAAAGCCCTCTTTTCCCTCCATTTTTTAAATCTTCTTTTTGAATCAAGGTAACTTAAGAGTCATTGTAATCTCCATATCAAGCGTTGGAATGACATAAAAATGTTAATTTTGGTGATTAAAAAAATTTGAGAAATTGTTAAATTGCTTGGAGCCTTGTGGCCAATCATTAACCTTCAATGATGAGAAAGTCAGTTATCCATAGTGCTTGCTATTTTCATATATAACACTACTCCGAAATCGCTCCTGTATCCTAACATTCTTGTAAGATGCTCTCAACAAACACAGGCATCAAAATATTTTTTGAAGAACAGCTTAAAGCCCATTGCAAACACTAAGTTAAACTTGCCTAGTCTTAATCTCCATCCTCCTGCACTCCCTTAAACCATTTAAACCCATCAACTCAATATCACAATTACATTTCTTAAATTGACCTTCAACAAACATTTCCTATGATTTAGCTATCTTCTTCTCAAAAAATTAGAGTAAAGCAGCTCAAACTAGGTACCTTTGACCTAGTTTTGGTACCACCACATCCAAATCCCCCCTAAGACCACCCCATCCTGCCAACAACTTCAAGAACACATCTCAGCATCCTAAACTCACCCTTCATAGACATCTCCAGCCATCACTCCAATCATAAAGCCTCCCATTCCTATCAAATTCGGTATGATAGCTAAACCTAACACAAGGATCAAAAAGGAGGAGAACTAACTTATTTCACGGCAAAAGACACCCTGCTTTTGGTGTATTTGTCTCCATCCTTATGATTTATTTCTAAAGTTTTGAAGTGATTTATTTTCTTTCTATGAGTAGTATTGAATCAAATTAATAAATAATACATTAAGCACACTACGTGCAAGCATATGATAAATGTACAATCTTCTTGGACCTCTGAGGAAATGTCTGGCTAGGGATTTCGTTAATAATCCTAACTCGCTCATTCACAAATGTTTGATTAAAAAATATGGTATGCATCCTTGGGATGACCGAAAGCATAAAGGTGATTCCACTACCTGGCATATTATCACACAGATGGTGCTCATAGTCTGTCACATCCTCGAGTGGAAAATATGTTCGGGGGATTACATTCAATTGTTCAATCATGATTGAACTTTTGACACCCCACTAACAGCATGGCCCTCTTTATTAATGTTCAAAAACCAAAAATTTGCAAAGTTGTAGCTCTAATTAACAATGGAAACAAAAACCAAACCGAAATTCAGCAGATATGTGGTTAAAAAATGGCTAAAAGGATTGAAGAAGTCAGGATTTTCTCTGATATTAGTCAAGACCAACTGAAGCTGGTCAAGAACTTTTGGGTAGAGCTATTACTTCATTTTCTTGTTAGGCTTTATTCTCTCATAATACACAAAGTTTTAAATGGCTCTGTAAACTTAGATTACACTCAAGAGAGCAATTCTTCTGGTGAAGGCTAACCCCTGATGCAGTTCATAAAAATATGTGGCTTAAGAAGAGGGACCTTAAAATTGATGTGCAATGCAAATGAGGTTGTGATGAGGAAGAATATAGAACTCACATCACTCTTAAATGTAGAGTGTTGATTCAAATACTATATGTGCTCGATACATGGGGAATGATCTTGTCAATTTTTATATTTTACTAGCTTCGAGGAGGTCATTAAAGAGTTAATTATAGTGACCAAACATAACTGTGTTGCAGCCCGAATATATTGTTATGCAAACCAGCATAGTTGGAGAAACAGAAATAAAAGAACCTTTTGGCACACCTTGAATTGTTGCGGTCACAATCTTGGAATCTCTTATAGCAATATCCTAATTTCCTATCCCGCAGCACCAGTTACTAGTAGACTTCAAGACTAATTTACCTTTCTTTTTTTGAACCCATAGGCCACCGCCCTCCAGAATGGATCAAGGCAAATGTTGATGGAGCACTTCTCCCTTTTTATCTTTCTAGTATTGGTGTTATTATTCGTGATGAGCAAGGTCATTGTTTAGCCGCCACCGGATAACGTGCAATTCATTGGGATGATGCTCAAATTAAGCTTAGTGTCATTCTTTATGTTAAAGATATTATTCAGCCTTGGATGTACAAGACCAAGGGCATTATTATTGAAAGGGATAATAGCAATATCATTTCCTTAGACACTCTATGGAGAAGAAATTTTGGTATAACCTACCAAGCATGAGTCGTGATCATGCTTTTTTTACACTCTTGTTATTTTTTTGTCACACTATCAGAAGCACTAATAGAGCACAACTCAACATTGTGCACAGATTGACTTAGATGATAGTTTTATATTAGAACTGTAAATGATAGTTATTCTCCTTTGGCTTTCATTAAGGATGATAGCTCTCGTTGTGTACATGCATGGTTAATAAGTTTTACATAGTTTTGTATCTTTTTACCTTTTACTGCAATACATGCAATATTTCAAGAATGTGCAACCTTCCAACAAATTAATACCACCAAGAAGCCAGTCTAGGTTCACTAGTGTGAACTTACTATTAACCTTTACTGGAATGATGATATCAGTAAGGAAATGTTTCATTTATAAAATAATTCATCCATTAGTACAAAATAAATAATTAATTTCTTAATTCAAATTTCTTTAGTAATTTTTAAGGGATATCACTAAAAGCATGTTTGATTGAATTTTATTAATTGTTTTTTTAAAATAAACACATACCAAATATTTGCATCCATAATCATTCTGTATATACGAATACTAAATGTAGTGCTAGACTGCACAACAGTTTAAATTTCTAGTGAAATCCATTAATTGGTGTTTATTAGTGTAGTCTAATCTTCTATAAATATATAATGTTAGTTCATAAGTATAAAAATGCTATTTTGAGGTAATCAATGATAAATTATAGCATTTTTCTTTCACTAACTAGTAGCTGCTTTTTAGATGTTAATAATGTTGACTTACATATCGTAGCTTATTTAGCCAAGTTGATATTCAGTGGATACATTTGCAAGTTGTTAGCCAAAAAGAAAAAAAAAGTCATATTTTGCATTATGAAAAAGACGTGGTCAGTAAGCTCACTTTATTCATTCCCTCAACCGATATTTATGCTTAAAGTTGTTTAGACAATAATTCAAAATGATAACAAATGAAGCACATTCAAATTTAAATGCTGAATTTCTTCTGAGAGAACATATCTATTAGAAAAAAAATGATACCATCAAAATGCATGTACCTCAATGTGATCTAACAAACCACAAAGATAATAGGTAAGAATGTATTATATATTGACAAAACCATAAAAAATCATTCTTTCATCAATAATATGAATTCTACAAAAAAAATGATTTGCTCCCAAAAATTTCCATGATTAACTACCTTTGGATTATCCACTGCAGTGAGCATCACAATGGCCGGGCAACGATATTGTATTACCATCTCCCAGAAGTCCTCAAAGGTATCTGGAAGTGGACCTTGAGTAGCAATAAACCTTGAGAGTTTTTCTGAAAAACCAGCCTATGATAGATATATATTATAAAAGAGATCTTGCATATAATATACTTATAAATTAAAAACCATGAGACAAGTGTAGACACACCGTAATAAAGCTCGCATTTATATAGCCACCATTAAAATGATTGTCCTCTTCAGTTAAGTTAAGTACAACCCTTGAGCTGTCATCTAAAAGAGTAAAAGAGTGCAAGTTCCATTAATCCTAAATAATATTTATAGAATAAGTCCATCACATCATTCTTTGACATTTCTATGAGCACAAAATGAAAAATTTTTCAATAAGTCCATCACATCACATTCTTTGACATTTCTATGAGCACAAAATGAAAAAGGTATTATGAGGAATACATGGTATCATGTCTGTATAACGATTTTTCGCCAAATTGTCGGCGTGAAGAGCAACTCTACATTTTCTTAGCACGTCTAGCTTTCTTACCCTCATGTCCTGTGAATAATTTATCAAAAGATCACTAAGAAAACAAGGAAACATAAATAAAGAGAACAAAATATAAGGCCTATTTGGTATGATATTTAAACAAAATTTAGCAAGGACTTAGATCATGTTCTGCTAATTGGTTTTTTTTTGGGTCTTAAATCATGAGTTTACAAAATTCAAAATTTAGCCTCTTTATTAGTTTAGCAGAATAAACTTAAATCCATGTAATGCTACAGTTTATATCATTTAACTTTTTTTCACCACTTCTCTTGCTCATTCTATGCTACCAACTGCAGTCTTCTTTCTCCTCCATATGTTGTTGTTTTCATCCTGATGTAACCACTGATCTTCTTTATCCTCTCATTGCTGCAATTTCTTCCTCTTCTCACCAATGCAATCCTCTTGCTCTTCACAAGATTTACCCTTCTTTCAATATTTAAAGCTAGTTGCAGTGTGAAAATTTGGAAAGAAATTTAAATTCTAAAGTTATTAATAATAAAAAACAATAGCAGAATATTTATAGGATGCTTTACATCCTTGCACATTAAATTTCTAAGACAACTAGCAAAAGAAAGATAAAATTTTAAGAATCAAACTGAAAAGAACCTTCCAACTATTTGTGGTAACCATTCATTCATTTCCTTCTAAGAAATTTGTCCTGATGCAATAATCACTTTCATTTATCTCCTAATTTAGTTGACACCTCCTTGGCTCTCATGCATCCTTATTTTCTATGCTAACCCTCAAGTTAGCTCGTACATATTAATCAAGCACAACATGCAGATGATAAAATCAAAATTAATTTGAATAGGCTACGTGTTTCAAATTATCACTTTAAAAGTGGCAATCAACCTTTCACAAATATATGTGATTTTGTGGGAGTAGGAATAAAAGGCATGCAAGATAATTCAAGTTTCAAATTATCACTTTAAAAGTGAAAATCAACCTTAACATGCTTGGTTCTTCAAGCTAGAAAGGATTGTGGACCAAAACCCATGTTGACCATTGCAATTTGCACACCACATTGCCTATGTTAAAGGATTGCTGAAAGGAAGATCCAAGCACTACTTCAAGCAACTACTTTTTTTTGCATTTCTATGTGACAAGCTTGTCCAATGCCAAGGTAAAGTTTTATGGATCTTCTGTCCATAATATAACCCAATTTGCATCAATATAAGCTTCAATATTGCGTGGAGTGTTTTCTTGAAAAATATTCCATTTCTAGGGCAACTCTTTAACTGCATCAAATTACATACGTGATCTCTAGATTTTGTTTTAGTAGTGAATACAAAAATTGTCTTAGTCGTTTTACAATAATGGCAAAGTGTAGCCTTGTGTGGAATAAATAAATTAATTTTCCCATTAGTTTTTGGTATCGAGTGACATCCATAAGTTTTTCAATGTTATCTTCTCTAAGCTTCATGTTCAGTTCAATCAAAGCGTCAATAGGTGTGCACCCACACATGATGATTACATTACAAATTTCCTACATTCTTGATTTTAAATTCCTCTTTAACAGTTCAATTTCATCCACATTATCATCTATAAAATAATGCCATCCATATAAGCCATAAAGTTTGGTGTCTTTCTTTTTTAAGTATTACATGTAGATAGTATATTCAATTTGGGCTTGCTTGTAGGTCTGAAATTTTAATGACCAAGTAAATTTTTCAAATCAATTTCCTACAGAGTATTTAAGATCATATAAAAAATTCTTTCGATTGGATACCTATGAGTCGAATTTCAACTCAAAACTAGTTGTATGTTCAATATAAAATACTTCTTCAAGGTTTATTTTGAAGAATTCATTAGTAATAATCAATTGATGTATAAATTTAATCGAGATTCATCGTTATAAATAGTGAGACTCATCCAAAATTCAATTTTTCTATTTATGCAAATGATCCATGTGGTTAATGTTATGGGTTTGGGTGAACCCTTCAACAACCGATCAAGTTTTATATAGTCCTTGAGACAACAACAACAACAACAACAACAACAAAGCCTTAATCCCACTACGTGGGGTCGGCTACATGAATCCTTTTTCTCCAATGCGTCCTATTTAGTGTCATATTTTCATTTAGTTCTAGTAAATTAAGATCATTTTTAATACAATAAGCCCAAGTCTTCCTAGGTCTACCTCTGCCTTTCTTAACACAAGTCGAATTTAAAACAACTACTCTCCTAATCGGATCATCTAATGATCATCCTAATCGGATTATATAGTCCTTGAGAGCCTTAACTAATTTAAACTTCATTTAAAACAACCACTTGCAACCAATTACAACCTTCCCTTTAGGCAAAGTCCATCATCAAGTCCTATTTTTCTCAAGAACTGCTTCCTTCCATTCAGGTATTTCCAGAGCCTCCTGCCCATTTTTTTTGGAATATTCATAAGAGAAATTTGAATGGAGAAAGCAAGAAAAGAGAGTGATAAATTTCTATAGGATAAAAACATTGATATGGGAAGATTTGTGAAAGGTGTAGCACCCTTAAGACTTAATAAATTTCTATTGGATACAAACTTTGATTGTCGTGCTCTGGTAGAATAGATTTGATTTGCAATGATAAAGGACTATTAACATATAAGCAAGCATTTTTCTGCAAAGAAGGTAATGAAGAATATCTAGATTCTCCCTAATTCCTATGTTTTTTTCTCCCTCTCCCTCCTTTCATTATTCTCCCGAACCATTTTCCCCAAGGAGTCGTTAGCATTGCTTGACTACTTCTTTATTTGTAGCACCTACTTGATTTCAAACAGCCCCTTCAATGCACTAAATAAATTTAGCCTTAAAGTAAATGCAGAATAGAATAAGCTTATAGAACCTTATTGCTTGCCAAAAAATGTAAGCATTTTCTCTTTTTCTGCCCTATGTTGACGCATTTCTAATAAAAATTCATATGATTAAAAACATGGCGGATAGCTACACTCACAGCCATATACCAGAACATAAATACTAGGCAAACCAAAAAAGAGGACCTGGATACGATCGAATTCCTGGGCAATCTTGCCCGGAGTCAGGAGCTTCCTCTTGAAGGTGGCTAGGGCCTCGGAGCACTGTTTTAGCTGGTCGGGTGAGAGGCAGATGGGCGGCGGTGGATTGGAGCAGAGAACTGCAGGGTCGAAGGAGGCGAAGGAGGCGAAGGAGCCGAGGTGTCCGGCTTCCAGGTGGGAAAGGAGTGAGCGGGGGCTGAGCCTCCGGCCATCATTGGCCTTCGCCGTCGACGGCAGATCGCAGAGTTCCCCGTCGCTGATGGGCTGCGTAGGTCTTTTTCTATCGACCGGAACAGCTACGAACGCGGAGACGGTTAACAGGAACTCTTGCGCGTAATAATCGTACTCCGCAAGTTGGAGATGCATGCGCGACCTCAATCTTGAGAAATTATTACTTGCGGACACCTCCGATCTCCGCCCTTTCTCCCATGACATAAAAAATTAAATTAAGCAATGTTAAAATTTATTTCATCAGAAAACCAAACGATGCTCGAGCGGGGAGAGCACGAAGCACCTTTATTCGATCTTCATCACATCTTTTAGGGTTTTTGAATCAGAAAAAATTAAGGTTTTAGAGTTGTTGGAAATCGAAGAAAGCCCAGTGAGAATGGAAACGGAAGATCCTTGATAATGGAAATCGAAGAGGAATCGAAAATGCAGGCCGAGAAACGCAAGAAAAAAGA